CCATATGGACGGTATTTTGCAGCCAGAAGGCTAAATCAAATACATATAAAAAAATCCATCAAAGAAAATAGTTTCAGCAAGAGACAGCATCAAACATGTCAATTTAAACAAATAAGTCAGTATTAATTTACTTAATAAATAAAAACTTTGGCAGGTCTAGAAAGGACTTGACAGAAAGTTGGTTATTCTAGGTTAAGGTGTTACAAAAATTATTGCATTAACGATCAGATCAACCATCCTAGAAAAATCAAAAGTCATGCAAAGTACAATACACAAACTAGGATTTAAATTTCATGTTTTATCTAACATATTTCTATACTAGTCCCATGTCATATTGATAGGTCAGATATCTACTGGATGGTGTATGTGAATCAAGTAAAAAGTCCAGCTCAAGAATAAACCATATCTAGGATTGGTTAAGCGAGGTATGGGCTTGTATTAACATACACCAATCCGTATCTACCTTACTGGACCATTGATGGCCTGTGTTTATCTGCATCAATCAGCATAACCAGTCCACTTAAATGTGGGTATACCATTGGTGTACGGGAGGTTAGTTCATCGGATCAGTATTACTTCTCATAACAAAAGGTGAGATTCATGGTGTGGACTAATATTATACTACCCCATATTTCTACCACAATAATAGTATTGCATGGCTTGGCATATTCATATCCACATCTTTTAAAACTATTCATGGGTTGGATCTTACAACTTAACACCTCTACATACATCTTATTCACTTGATATGGAGTACACGAGTCATTAACAGGACACAATAAAGGTATCCCAACATCACAATAAACTATAATGAACCAGCTTGTATCATATTTAAAGCAGGAAAGATCATATAGAAGTGCAAAAGAAATTGGCTTCTTTGATTTTGCTTTATAATGTCATTGATCCTACAGCTGCAGCTGCATATTGAAAGCAACAATCAACTCCGAATGAGAATTTATCTAGTTACGAGATGGACTCCTGATCCTGGACATTTAACCTATCTATTCATTATCTTGCAGGATCTGCTGACCTCCAAAAGCCAGAGAATAAATATGTTTGTCCAATAGTTGACAGAAAAAATTGGTCCAAAAATTACTCAACAGTCACATGTTACACACACTTTACATAGAAAAATATAGTATTAAAATAATTTTACTGCATACACTGCCACAAGGGATGCATGCCAATCATTGACAATGAATAAGCTTTTCTCGCCATAAGTGTAACCTCCCAGAGGAAGCACTAATGGAGCCTCGCAAGCTGCATAGCACAGTATTGTGAACCTAAACTGCAAAAGTAATGGTGGCTAAGTTATACATAGAAAAGCCAACTTGTAACCGCATGCTTTACCATTAATTCAGAATAACCTGATTGTCACCAAAAGCTCCATTGGAATCACCATATGGATTTCCAGCTCTATGATAAGAAGGATGATCGACAAAAACCTGACCACATAAGATGAAAAAGAAATATTAATCTAAATGATTAAGCATAAGAATGGTGCGTGCAGTCATGCACTTCTGCTCAGGAATGGGCACATATTAATGCATGCATGCTAGCAGAGAGCATGACACATATATATTATAATCCTATGTAACTTGTTATGTCAATTTAATTACAAATAAGCATCAACACAAAGATGAACAGATGGATGTATTATTTTACAATTTCCATCTTAATATTTTAGGGTTTAAGGGAAAAACAACAAAAAAAAAGGGATAAATGTTAGATCGTGTGCAATTTTCAGTATAAGCAGTACACTCATAAAAAGAATTATCATGTTTTGTGTTATCGGTAACAGTCTCATTGAATAGGTGAAATCGCCACAATGACAATTCCATTTTCACTTTCTGGACAGGCTTGGACCTGTGAGAGTGTTTACTAGCTCCAGAACTTGATCTATTACATCTCAGGATATACCATATTGCTAATAAAAAACTTAACTAATTCAAAAACAAAATGTCAGTGCAAATAGATCATCAACTGCATCACGTGTAAAGCATGCATATCTCTTTCATTCAACTGCGATGGAAATTAATATGCACACAGATCCTAATAATTTCACATATATGTACAAGAAAAAAATTACATAAAAAATTTTGGAGTATTAAATATTGACAGTAAATACCCAATCAACACCTGCTCTGTACTCATGATAAAAAGAAACTTCATGTTCTCCTCCAAAGCACAGAACCTTGATGCGGACTCCAGTATCATTGCATTAGCAAAATTTTTATTTGAAACACCATTTAAGTATCTTGGAGATACCACCATTACACGATGACCACGAGCAGCAAGAGAAATAGGTAATGAACCACAAACATCTCCTAATCCTCCTGTTTTCGAATAAGGAGCAGCTTCAGCACTAACAAAAACAATAGTGCGAGTTACCCGAGTCTGGGTTTGCTCTTGTTCATCAGTTTCTTCTTCTTCTTCAACATCAAGAGCACTGCTAGACATTAAAACCTCTTTTTCTGCTTTGGTTTCTTCCACGATACAATCAGGGACAGTGCTAGAATCCGAAACTTCTACACTGGAATCAAGAACAGTCCTAGAAGCTGACACACTGTCATCCCCTAGACATCAAATAAAGCAATTTTCATCAGAAAATCCGCAATTCCAAAGCATCTAACCATAGATTTTTAAGCACGAACAGCACAAATAAAAGAAGTAACAGTAAATATTCATTGAGATGAAAAGATTGCAGTTTATTTCAGATCTGAATCAAAGAGTAAAATATGACAAAAGAACACCACAAAGAAGACAAGGAGTATTATTTGGTGCTAAGTGCTAACTCCTGACACAAAGGCCAAATACATGAGATTCCAGCAAGTAAAGAATTCCAGGATAAGTTCTAATGACAGCCTTCCCCAATACACAGAGAGGCTGTTTCTTGACAACCACTTGACACCCAAATCACAGAGGAGCAACCACCCAGTGGAGCCACCGTTCAAGACATTCCAATTTAGTTACTTTAAATATCTAACTCACACCAGTTGGTGTGAAATCAACTGATATCATCACAAGGCACTTGATTTTGCTAACTTGTCATTTTATATTTTCATAACCTAATGTCAATAGGTTCGACCAAAAGGTTTTTCCTAATACCATAATTAGGACGAACCAACAGGGAAGATATTTCAAGGAATCCATCATCAATGTTCTTTCCAACCATCATAGTCGATGAAGGGGGGGTCAAAAATTTATTCTCAACCAAGGAGGTCACGCGTTAAAATGCAACTACCATTGGTTTCTTCCTCTTCGAGAACGCCAGCCAGTTCCTCCGTCTTCTGCTCTCCGACGGAATCATCACCCAAATTCTGCGTCCTTCCGATCGCCAACAACGTGGGATCGAGGAGCCCATTCTCCTGGACAGCACCACCATCGGGGTCAGCGGCTTTCCCGATGGCGGACAGGTAGGGCCAGTCCTCCTCCTTTCTACTGCGCCGCTCGGCGGCGGACCACCACCTGGCGACGTGGGAGCAGTAGCTCCGCCGGATCCAACGGGGCGATCCGACGGTGGATGGAGGCGAAGGACGGGGACCGCCATGGGGGGGCTGGGGTTTAGATGCGGCGAAGGGGGTGCGGTGCACGCAGATCGCCGCCATGGGCGGTGCAGCGGAGTGGGGGAGGAGAAGAAGAGAGAAGATCGGAGATGACATCGAAGAGAAGAAACGTGAATCGAGAGAAAAGAATGGAATAATAAGAACGGGGAACCCGTCGATGAGGAAAAGAGAAAAGCAAAAGAATAGAGCGACGGACGAGAGACTCTGCGTGGGTTTGTGTGCGTGTGGCGTCGAGTTTCTTTATGCTTCGCGAGCCGATCGGAGTGGGAGAGTTTCCCGGGAGAGTCCAGCTTTAAAAGGAACTAACGTGAGTTCTTTCACAAACTACTTTTTGCCCACCCGTCTCGTATACCTGTGTTCTGATTAGCCCCAAAATAGGCCACCGTCAACTTCGCGAACATATATTAAGGTATACAAGTACGTGTCTAACAAATATGTAAGAAAAATAATTCAATTAGGTCACGAGCAAGTCACCTGCGAAAGAGAGACCTTCAAAGGAATCCCGTGTACGGCCGTGGACAATATCGTGCCGTTATACTACGATCTCGGCTCAGATTTCATCCCGGCTCAGATTTCGGACGGTGATATCGTGCCGGTTTATTTTGATTTCCGTAATAAGACATGTAGTTACCTCCAAAGGTATCTTCTTTTTCATCACTTGCCTTGAAAAATAATATACATTTACGATGGATTTTAACTATGTTGAAGTAAAATAAAATTTATAATCTTAAGTATTCGACCAAAAATTATTTATTTTTAGGGGCAATTACACACGCATCCTTTTCTTGGAAATAAAAACATATGTATCCCTATAAAATCAATTATTTTAGTATTTATTCCTTGAAATTCTAATGCAAAAACTTATATATATTGATGTCATTAGATTTTACTAGTCATCAACGGAGCCATTTGACACCTTTGGAAAATAGAAGCACATCATGAAATGTTTATTAATCACAAGGCGTCTTCTCAGCATAATCATTTCGATTTGGCCTTATCGTGACATGAAGCAGTAATCTACAGGATAAGCCATCAGTAACAAACCATCTGATGTAAACTGAAAGGTCAATATGAAACAGTCAAACTAATTTTGTTCCTTGTGGATATAATACAGCGCAAACAAGCACTTGTTGATCTGGGAGCATTTGGATGGAAAATAGACATGTTGCATGTCCCATGTAATTTACCTAAAACACCCAAAAGAAACCTGACAGACATCACAATCTGAAACCTAAACCATTGATCTAGTAGAAAATGTGAAAACTTCAATTCTTTGCATCCAAAGAAAAGAAAAGGGCTTGCAGAAGTAGTGAAGAATATTACATCATATGTCATATAAATCGAAAGCCTAAACCTTTCTCCTAGATCTAAAACATGGATAGCCACAAGAAAAAAAGGAGGAACAACTTGAATAATTGTAAAGCTTAAGTTGAATCAAAAGAGTGCAACAGACCTTCAAAAGAGTTCATTGTTTTAGAATCACTAGAATAACTGAGTAGGAGATTTGACTAAAATTTAGAGTTTGGCCTGTATATAAGTTACATATGCCAAATCATGCTCATCGGTGTTGAGTTCTCCATTATTGAAATCAACCAGGAAGTTCTAAGGACCTGAGCTACTGTGTGAGTGATAGACAAAAAAAAAAACGGATCCATAGTTCGATTAAAGTGTGACTCATGTCTGCATACAAATATATCTTCATGAATTCACCACAGTTCATTCAGCATCATTTCATTTCTTGCTAATGTCAATCCAGCTGATTATACTTGCATCAAAAACTTCTATTATGAACATTCCACATTATATACGTGCTATTATGGATACTAAACCCATATACAATGTTTAACTAATTATTCTTGCCTGACATTTTGGTTCAATAAATATCATTATCAGAAATGAAAAGTAGAGACATGCTATATATCTATCAGAGGAACTACACACTGATAAAAAATAATCCATAAAAGTATGTGAAAAAACATCTTAAATATGACTGATGATTGCATGAGTGCCAGGTGTAAATAATTCTCACCAATTCCCATTTTTCTAGTACTGTTCCATAGTGAACGACTAATTAGCTTTGTGAATGTTTGGCTACAAGATCAGAAATATCATCCATGATTTGCTTACTTGGAAAATGTCTATTACTATTAGATCTGAGATTCTAATCCGTCCAGACTTCTAAGCCCAAACTATTCATGGGTATGTTCCAATTAATGTAATTTAGAGACTTTTCAAGAGGAACTGAACTAGGAGGAGCAGTATGTACAAATTTCATGAATAAATAAATGTACATATACAAGTTCCAGGGATTATGTCTGTACTAACTGATAAAAGAAAGCTAAACTGTAGGTGTGAGTAAAAGCAACAAACATGTCCAGGCATATCAAAAATGTTTTCTCATGCTTCATATCAGGTGCATAAATACTTGTGATCACTAAATATTTTGAAAACGTAGGCAGTACAAATTTAGGCTCAAGAACTTCAGTTGTTCATGAAGCAATTTATTCATAATACTTATATTCTAAAACGTTATAAAGGAATTTCATCATTTGGTATACTGGACTAGAATCCGTGATAGAAGAGCAGGACTAATTCTTACGTCAAAGAATTAAAAATATATAACTGATGGTCATTGTCAATCTACAGAACCTGACTATCAAAATGCAGGAAAGATGTCAATATATCAGACTAGAAGAGCTTTGACAAACAAGATCAGCAGCAAGGAAAGAACCAATCAAATTAAGAAGTACCCATTTGCAGAAATCAGATCAGATTATATAGCCTATGGAATGACACTTTGGTAAAAAGTTTGTCTAAAAGCTGTACCACCTCCTTGGAAACCACACTCTGTAGAGACTGAAAACAAAAATAAGAGTTAAGAATCAAACTGATGAAACAATGAGCCCTACATGGAAAAAGATGACAAATTACATATTGAATATGAAAAAAATACATGGTGCAACATGTAGGTATTCGGCACTGGAAATTAAATAAACAAAATCTCATACCTTTCTTGTTGGGTGCAACCTTTAGTTTATTTATTTATTAAGATAATTAATGAAAAAATATAAATGCAGAAGAAAGGTTTGTATATGATTTTTATTGATTTAGAAAAAATAATAATAAAATATCATGATGGTTTAAATAATATGAATGATGATATAGTCATTACTCATTAGTACAAGAATAAGAGGTCTAATGTTATCCTTGTTAGTATATGATTATATCAGGGAGACAGGGATCAGCATTAAATCCTAATCTTTAGGCCAATCTGATGACCCACTAGAACAAAGAATGTACTTCAACCTATTGTCACCCTCAATCTACTACAATGACCGTTTACACCTCAATCATTTCTGGTAAATAGACAGCCTTCTGTGTTGATGATAAAAGAACAAATAAGAAACTGCTCCAATATTTCAAACAAAAGCATATCTACAGCTCAATGTCAAACAATGAGCATCTCACATCTGCCAAATAACCTTCTAACCTCAATGCTTGAGTCATGTTATCGAGTAAAAGGTATATCTCTTTGATTTGTGGGTGTGAATTGCGTCCCACAGTAAACTCATGGAGAAATCCATGAATTTCAATACAGCTACAACCAATGGTCTTAGACACTCCCTTTTTCTTCATAGTTTTCCATAGTTCCTTGGCAGATTCATGTTGATCTCTGAACACGTATATGTTAGACAATAGCACATAAGAGCTACTATCACGAGGAACCAACTCGATAAGTTGTCTTGCTGCAAATTCAGCGATTTCAATATTTCCGTGATTCCTAGAAGCACCAAGAAGGGCTCTCCAAATAATGTCATTAGCACTTACTGGCATGTTGTTCACCAGTGCAATTGCTTCCTCTAGATGGCCTGCACGGCTTAGAAGATCTACCATACAGCCATAATGCTGGATCTTGGGACTTATTCCATATTTTAAGCTCATATGCTTAAAATACCACTGACCCTCATAAACTAAGCCAGCATGACTGCAGGCGCTTAAAAGACCAATGAAAGTTATATCATCTGGTCCAACCATTGATTGTTCCATGTCTTGAAATAAGGAGATTGCTAGACTACCATGGCCATGCACTGCTAACCCTGATATTATTGAATTCCAATGATCCCTTTCCTTTCGAGGGATGTCATCAAAGATGCTCAGAGCGATATCAACATAACCACACTTGGAATACATGTCTATGAGAGCAACACCAACAACACCATCCAGAGGGATGTTATACCTATCAATATATGCATGAACCCATCTACCTTGGAGGAAAAAACCTAAGTCAGCAATAGCCGAAAGAACAATAGCTAAAGTAGAGCAATCAGGCTTTTCTCCTAGCATATTCATTTTGGTAAATAGTTCAACAGCTTCTTTGGATTCTCCATTATCCTTGTAGCCAGCAATCATTGTATTCCATGAGACCACATCCCTACATGGCATGGTCTCAAACAGCTTTCTCGATACTGTGATTCTTCCAAGTCTAGCGTTCCCATCAATCATGATATTCCAAGAGACAACATCCTTCACAGGCATATTATCAAATATTTCACATGCAAGTCCCAATTCTCCTTGCTTCATATAGGCATCCAGCATGATGTTAAATGAAGTTACATTTCTATTAGGCATCAGATCAAATAACTTATGTGCTAATATGATATTACCACATCTAACATATCCATCGATCAAACAGTTCCAATTGATTGAATTCTTATAGGGCAACTTTTCAAACCAATTATGGGCAATAGTGATTTGACCACACTTTGCATACCCATTAAGCATAATTCCCCAGGTCACTTCATCCTTGATAGGAGATTCATCAAACAGTTTCCTTGCAGCTCTCATATCTCTGCACTTAGCATATCCATCAATGATGGAATTCCATGAGACAATATCTCTCATGGGCATCTCATCAAACAGCCTTCTTGCTGATTCTATCTGACCATTTTTTGTGAACCCATGGATCATTATATTCCAGGAGAATAAATCACGTTCTGGCATCTGAACAAACAACTCAAATGCAGTAATAATGCTTCCATGTTTGACATAAGCATCGATAATCATGTTCCAACTGATCAAATTTTTGTAGAGCATTGCACCAAATGAAGCATGTGCAGAATCAATCTTTTGGCAGCTGGCGTACATGAATATCAAAGAGCCCTGCACAAACAAGTCGAAGTTATGAGGGCTCTTTAAAATATGACAGTGGATTTGTTCACCTTCTCTGAGTGCCACAGCACTCGCACAGGCTTTAAGTATAAAAGGGAATGTGAATTTGTCAGGAGAAACATTTCTCTGCAGCATTTGACGGAAAAAATATATGGCTTCCCATGGTTTGAGACCTTGCACATAGCTTCTAATGATGGTGTTCCAGAAAAAAGGATGAGAATCATCAACCTGCTTGAATAAAATATAAAATGTAGAGAAGTTTGAAATCTCTTTAAAGTAACAAAAAAGTTACCTCTAAAAAGCATAAAATAAAATGAAGATTTTCATATCTGTTCTTTCACAGAGAAATGAGAAAATGAGCACAATATTGCAGGAAAAGTTAGAAACTTTATTGTCACATAATTCCAAGTCACTCGAACCGATGAATATTCATGGGAAGCAGGTGAATAAAACAAAAAGTAGCAAAGAAATTAGCATGGCATGAAAAAGCTCAGGTCTACATAAAAGGTTTTAAACTTGGATTCAAGTATATCGGCACAAGCTGCCAAATATAAGTTCCAGCTTGAAGTGGTTATATATACAAATGCTCAAGATCCAACAGAAATGTTTAGACACAGTACCGATGTCAGCATATGAACACAAAACTGGGATGCTGCACACATCAATGAACTTAAAAAAGCACTAAAATAATCAATTTTATGTATTCAACTCTGTGTCATCTATCGACAAAAAAGAAAGAGTGTGAAGAACTAAAACCATACAAAGCAATGCCTGTGGAATGTTGTTAAAATGACATGGAATAGATCATGCTTTACCAATAGCAAAACTAACTAGTCAAAAATAAAGCAGAAATCAGGTGGATACATGTGAGAGAGAAAGAGGCCTAATCATCAACATTTGGTCTAAGCAGACACAACCTTATTAAGCTCCTATGTTAGTGACAATTTGCTTATATATCATAGGTAATACTTCTTATATAAGCAATCCATGATGACATGCATGTGGTAGATCACCAACTGAGAGGGTTTCAGATAAGCAGATCCTTTATTTCCTAGCAAGGACCTCATAGTTTTTGCAACTTGATAGGCTGACAACTTATTTTTTCCGTAATATTAACAACAGTTACAATAGCAACCACTAAATTTGCCATGGCCTCTAAAAACTTTCGAATTAACAGAATGGAGGTTTTCGTTAGTAACATGTGAGTCCCTATGCAACAATCATCTTTGCCACCAGATATCAATAGCTTCAGTTTTACCATGAGAATAAGATATTTTTGGCATATGCCATTGTATGATGATATGATCCTTACCGTAAACAATGCAAGTTTCAAAAAGAGGTTCAGGTAATAAAGACCATACCAAAACGCACACGTTGATGTACACAAGAAGTTGAACGACTTCAAAGGCCACTTAAATTTAGACAAACCTTTATGATGGCACGATGCTTCAGGAATTTGCTTTTGGACAGAAGCTTTTCCATTGGAATTTGTTGCATCCTCCTGTTTACGGTCCTCAGCGTTGAAAATTTTTATCATTATTCTACAGTAAGAGAAAAATACAATCAAAACATACAAAATTGAGATACGGTAAGCTTCCATTGATTTTAACAAACTTAGTTGGATGAAGGCATAAGTCAAATCAAGGCCACAGACATCAAATAAAGCTAATCGAATAAAACACATAAGGCAACCCAAGACGAACACTTGAGTTTCATGTATAGCATATGAAAGTTGCAGACTTCTACATTTACACGGGGCATAAAGTTCAAAAGCATTTACCAGATTCTAAAACATTCTTGCACTGTGGTCACGGTCTGCAGAGATTTCTGATGTAGTCTTTCGGTTCGAGTCCAGTTTTCTAGCTGGAGAGAAAGCGAAAGAGGGAGGGGAGAGAAGGGGAGGGCGTCAGCGATTTCCGGCCCCACGGAGGGAGGAGGAAGAGGAGAGAAGAGGGGAGAAGCGGGACGGAAAGAGAAGAGCCAGAAGAGAGTGAGGGAGAGAGGGGAGAGCGGCGACGACCGTTCCCGACGGACCGGTGGAGAACGCTTCTATTCCGAGCCCTTATGTTTTTTTATTACATATGCGCGTCCTTTTTACTATTTATCATCTTTTTTAACTATCATAATTCCTTTAAAAAAATAATAATAATATTTTATTATTTATAATCATGTTTATTTTTCTCCTCACAACTCGCGTCTGTGCAGCTTATCTTTCTCAGCCGCCTGCACGATTTATTGGATAATTTATAATAAAATAAAAATATAATATATTTCAAATTAATACAACTGATATAATATCTTCTGAACTATTATAAAATATCTCTAATCTTAAAAATATTAAATTATCATTAGTTCAATTTCATGTATGACTTAATCAACTTCCACTAATCCAACTCAAATTTTTACAAAACTACTAAGATATGATTCTAGGATAATTAGTATTTTTTAATGATATTGTGATGACTAATTATTAAATTTTAAGTTTTTAAACTAATATTATAATTGAGTATAACTTACTTAATTTTCATATGTAACTTGATAACTTCTATTAGTTCAATTCAAACTTTTGGGATATGATTCTAAGATGATTAATATTATTTTTTAAAAAATTTTATGATAATTAAATATCAATATTAAAATTTTAAAATATGCTAATGATCGAATGTATCATGGGATAAATATCAACAAATAATTCGAACTATGCTCCAATTCACTCTCATCGGAAAGATATTTCAATATACTTTCAGGTTAAATAAGTTTCATACAAATTGAAGTTTCCAACGAGAGTTATAAATAATTTGATAATTAAATATTAGAATAAATATCTATTTTGTAGAATTCATATGGTTAGTTTCAATAGAAAACTACTTAGGGTTTGGACTCTAAATCTTTCGGTTCATGTATCAAAATAAAGAACTACGAATATAGTTTTCAACGAAATAAGTTTTATAAATATTAAAGTTTCTAACATAGATTTATAAGTAGTTTAGTATCAAAAGATCAGAAGTTAGGATCAACTGAAACATGAGTTTAGACATACTTCAAATTCTTTAAATAAGTTATTAAAAGAAAGATTTATGAATCTATATTCAGATTAAATAAGTTTTAATTTTGAATATAATGGGATTCTAATGTTATTTAAGTAAAAATCTAAATATATTTTTATACAAGTGAAAATAAATGTGACATTTAGAATTTTCAGCCAATCGTACTGAAAGGAGTATTCATGCCTTAATGACAAAGGCATGACATTGGATCTTTGTTGTAGTCAGTGATGAAGTGGAATTTTGATTTCAATTTTTTATTATCAATAATCAAAGTTTTTATCAGCAACTTAATCTTTCATTTCTTTTTTAGCGTCATATAAATCATCAGTCAAACCCTCGGATTCTCTGGGGGGGGGGATTAAATTAAATTAAGTTGGATTTTTTTATTATATTACTTAACAACTAGTGGGTTCAATGGGCATGCAATTGTGGTAATAATGGTGGTGGTTAATTGAAGGGATTTACAAATGGAGATTCTAAATTTTGAAGCAATGTAGTAAAACTACAAAGTCGAAATTTTATTTCCCAAGTTGGATAGATATATAAAAAGATTATTTGCCATTTTATTTTAAAAACATTATTTTTGTTCCAAATTAATAATGAATTAACTATTAATAGCAGATAATATATATATGTTAAACTTAAAATTAAAATAATAAGCCAATAATAATAATAATAATAATAATAATAATAATAATAATAATAATAATAATTTACAGGTAATTTTCTAAGTAGCTGCTACCAGCCTTTCTGCTTTCAAGCAGGGCTGTCTCGGATTTGATCTTTAAATTACCGTCGGTGCCTGGAATCCCCCTCCCACCCCCATCTGTCTACCAATGGACATCAGTCCCGAAACCCTAGCGTCGTGGTTCCTCCAATCCCTCTCGCCGGAACCCCATCCGCGCCGCGCGGCCGAGGCCTCCCTCGCCGCGGCCGCTGATCGCCCCGGCTTCGCCCTAGCTTTGCTCCAACTCGTCGCCGCCCCCGCCGTCGATGATCAGATCCGCCTCGCCGCCGCCGTCCACTTCAAGAACCACCTCCGCTCCCACTGGGCCCCCTCCACAGCCGTAGCCGCCGAGGAGGCCCCCTCCTCCGCCCCTTCTCCACCCCCTATCCCCGCGCCCGAGAAGGAGCAGATCAAATCCCTCCTCGTCTCCCTCATGCTCGCCGCCCCGCCCCGCGTCCAGCCCCAGCTCTCGGAGGCCCTCGCCGTCGTCAGTGCCCACGACTTCCCACAGTCCTGGCCCTCTCTCCTCCCCGAGCTCGTTGCTTCCCTCCGCAACGCAGCGGCGGCCAACGACTACCGCGCCGTCAATGGCCTCCTCGGTGCCGCCGCTTCCCTCTTTGCCAAGTTCCGCATTTCTTTTGACAACAACGCCCTTCGCCTCGACCTCAAGTACTGCCTCGACGGCTTCGCTGCCCCGCTCCTCGAGGTCTTTCTCAAGACCTCCCGGTTCATCGCCGCTAATGTTGCTGGCCCTCCTGAGACCCTCCGCCCGCTCTTCGAATCGCAGCGCCTCTGCTGCGAGATCTTCCACTCCCTCAACTCCATCGAGCTACCGGAGTTCTTCGAGGAACACATGCGCGAGTGGATGACCGAGTTCCTGGCATACCTCGGCACTGCCTACTCGCCTGCTGTGGAATCCGAGGGTACTTTGGACGCTCTCAGGGCCTCTGTGTGCGAGAATCTCCAGCTCTACATGGAGAAAAACGAGGAGGAGTTCAAGGATTACCTCAATGACTTTGCCTCTACCGTGTGGAAACTGCTGATGACTCCAGGTTCTTCGCCGTCCCGTGATCAGCTCACTGTCACGGCCATCAAGTTCCTGACGACGGTCAGCACCAGCGTCCACCACTCGCTCTTCAGTAGCCCTGAGGTGCTCCAGAGAATATGCTCGAGCATCGTGTTTCCTAACATCCGGCTTCGTGACGAGGATGAGGAGCTGTTTGAGATAAATTACATCGAGTATATTAGGAGGGATATCGAGGGCAGTGATATCGACACTAGGAGGAGGATTGCATGTGAACTCTTAAAAGGAATCGCGTTGAATTACAAGGAACAGGTTACTGCATTGGTGTCATTGCAGATACAGGAGATGCTGAAGGTCTATGCAGCCAACCCGGGCGAGAACTGGAAGGAGAAGGACAGTGCAATATATCTTGTGGTTGCACTTTCTCCAAAGGCAGGCAGCAGTAGTGGGTACCTTGTGGATGTGGAGAGCTTCTTCACGTCAGTCATTGTTCCTGAGCTGCAGGAGCAGGATGTGAATTCTGCCCCAATGCTGAAAGCAGGTGCACTGAAGTTCTTTACAGTTTTTCGAGACCAAATTCCTAAGCAAGCAGTTATGACTCTGCTACCCCATTTGGCAAGGTTCCTAATGTCTGAATCAAATGTGGTCCATTCATATGCGGCAAACTGTATCGAGAAGCTGTTGCTGGTGAAGGATAGGATAACAGTGGTTGGGTCAAATGTGGTCACTTTGACTCCTCGATATGGTTCCTTGGACATCAATCCTTTCCTGCCGCAGCTGATGACCAATCTCTTCAATGCATTACAGTTCTCTGAGTCACAGGAGAATCCATATATCATGAAGTGCATCATGAGAGTTCTTGGTGTTGGCAACGTCAATAGTGAGGTTGCTGCACATTGCATCAGTCGCCTGGCATTTGTGCTTTCAGAGATATGCAAGAACCCGAGGAACCCAACCTTCAACCACTACCTGTTTGAGTCAATTGCTGCACTGATTGGCAGGTCATGCGAGAACGACCAGGCACTCATCCCAGTGTTTGAGGCAAGCCTGTTCCCAGTCCTTCAGAAAATTTTAGTCGATGATGTGACTGAGTTCTGGCCATATGCCTTCCAAATATTTGCTCAGCTTGTTGAGATGAGTAAGCCACCTCTTTCTAATAGTTATATGCTTCTATTCCATGTTCTTCTCTCACCAGAATCTTGGAAGAGGCAAGGAAATGTCCCTGCATTGGTTCGGTTGTTGCAGGCATACCTGCAGAAGGTTCCCAATGAGCTCAAGAATGAGGGGAGATTGCATCAGGTCATACAGATTTCTATGAGTCTTCTTCCTGCTTCTAAAACGGAAGAACTGGGATTTTATGTGCTGAATACTGTGGTGGAGAATCTCAGCTTTGACATTGTAGGACCTTACTTCAGAGATATATGGAGTACTATTTTCACTCGTCTGCAGAGTAGGCGTGCAGTGAAGTTTGTAAATTCTCTTGTAATATTCATGTCATTGATTTTGATCAAGCACGGTCCAAGTATTCTAGTGGATTCTGTAGATGCCCTCCAGAAGGGTTTATTCATGCAGATCCTTCAGCCATTTTGGATTCCAAATCTGAAGCTGATTTCAGGAGCCATTGAGATGAAGCTGGCCTCAGTGGCTGCCACGAGGCTTATTTGTGAGTCCCCAGTCCTTCTAGATCCCTCATCCAGTGAGTTATGGGGGAAGATGCTTGATAGTATCATCACCTTGCTGGCTCAACCAAATGAATACAAAGGGGAACAAGAAAACAATGAACCAGATATTCCTGAAACATTGGGTTATACCGCAGCCTTCGCTCGTCTTCATTATGGGGGAAAGAAGGAAGAAGACCCTCTAAAAGAGATAAGGGATCCAAAGGAGTTTTTGGTGACATCATTGTCTAGACTTTCGGCAAGATCTCCTGGTAGGTACAGAATGGTGATTGAGAAGTGTGTGGATCCGGCTAATCAAGCTGCACTACTCCAGCTCTGTACCACTTTCAATTGTGCAATTGTCTAGGTAAGAAAATTCATTAACTTCTTCAAGTTATCCTGAATTTATTTGCAACGTTATGGCCTTTTTCTTTCATCAATGGATCTCGTAGTCATGCAATGGGGAAACTATTGACCGATGCTGCATTGTTAAACTATTAGAAGTTTTCTGCATTATTGTTCCATGTGCTGATATCATGAGTTTAAGTTGCTTATCTACTACTGGTTAATCAACAGCATATTCTTTTTGGTAATCAAATACACAATTTTTTGACAATATTAGCAATCAACAATGATGTTATGCTGCCATATTTATTCTCACTTCAGCTTGTCAGTCTTTCATCTAGCTTGGTCAAACACCCATGTTAAGGTTGACAGGCTTTTGAGGGGCCTTCCACCTGGAAAGGCCTGGTCTTGATCCCTTGTGCCATGTGTCCTGGTGGGTATCACCTTTTTTTGATGATGCAAGTTACCAACTTCTATTTCTCCAAGAGATGGGAATTTGCATGCAGAAGAGGTAGGCCAATGTGGTAAGATGGGGTGTGACACTGATCAGAACACTGGAGGGCTTCTCTTGGACACTAGCTTGTGTAACACAACAACAAGCTCGGTTATATGGTTGGATTGTGTGAAATAAACATGGCTAGAACTATAAAAGGCAAGCATGTGGAGATTGCAAGAATTACACTACTCTCTCAGTAATGTACATCCAAATTGCCTCATTATAACACAAGTGAATCTTTTTAAAATTCAATTAAGTTGATTTGATGCACATCTTCTTGGTTTTTTATTTGAGATGAAGCATGAGTCAAAATTTGATTGATGAAAACATAAAAAAAATTGAGAGGTTTAAATTAAAGGTTTTTTGCCGGTGCATTTCTTTATAAGCTGCATGTCTGAACACTTTCTTGGGTCTCGTAGTTTGCCTGCCTTAAACGGCTTGCAGTAGCAACTTGTGTGGCATAGGTTATGCCAAAGTGATCATAGCTGGACTGGAGGTTACATTTTCATCATCTCATGTTTTCTTTTAGATTTTTTTGATCTAAGTGATAATGTAAGTTTTGGTGACATAGGAACCTAGTCAAATGACAGATTGAAACAGGATGTTTACCACATAATATAGCTAGGCATGGCAGTGTTATAGTAAACTTCGAAATAGTTGTAGAACTGGAAAAACATATGTTTTCATGACATAATGGAACTTAGATTCCTTTGATTCAATCCATTATGGTTAGTAGCTTTTTGTTTAGATGAACCGGGTAGTAACTTTAAATGTATGCATGACTAACCTAAGTGAGTACTTCGAGTTTTAAGTTCTAATGGACAAATAATGTCGTGAAATTCTATGGAAGTGTAAGAAAACAGTAGTCAATAAAAAGTAAATTTGGTGGCCATATTTCTTATTAGTCTTATGTAAGAAAACTACATTTCACTTTTTTGCCATTGAAGTTTAATGTTTTCCTTTTTGTCCAAAGAGATTTTAGTATATGGCTTTTAATAATTACATAAGAAAGCTAATGTTCTGCTCTCATGGAATCCTAGTGGTGATGATGCAGATCAGTTTTATTTGTTATGTTTTAGAATTTTTTTGCAAATTCTTTATGCGTCAAAACTTTATCGATATAGTAAACCATCTACATACGTGGGATATGCACCTACATTATATATGTATGCGGGTATATTGGCAGGTGCATGAACTGTTACTTAAGCTATGAGTGCAACATAAGACAGATGTTTGAAGGGATCAAAATGGCTATGTGTTTTAAAAGCTCTACATAAATGAAAGATTTATATAGAGAAGGTGGGTGGCTTTTGCTAATGTTGATCTTTTGCTAATGTGAGATCTTGAGTGAGTAAATATATATAACCTTATGCCTGCAATTCAAAACTGTTTAAATGACTCAAACATTGGTCATTCAGGAAATGGAGTAAAATTTTCGTGGTGCAAAGGCTAATCCTCTTAGATTATGATATTGATTACAAATAAAAGAAAAATGTATATGTAGTATCAACAACAATCATAGGCCTGGAGTTTCCAACTTTTTGGAGTCAGTTACATGGGTCTTTTCTTACTAATGAGGTCTATTGAGGAAAATCCAGTGCGATCAAGTATTTTGTTATTTCTCTTAATGATAAACCATTTCTTGTTTAGACCTATAGGTGTTGTAGGACACACCATGACCTTGCATCAATTCCATATGCGATCTAACCCCATAGTGAGGCCAGTTAAGATTTATGTTCTTATAAGACATCACAAAGTTTTATGCTAGCTTGTGAATCGCCTGATACAATTTCTCCTTTTCCAGTGCTTGAGATTGTTGGTGAAGTAATTTTAACAAAGAGTTGTCATTTATGGTATTATAACATGATTTCCTGTTAGTGTAACCCATTGAGGATAAAAAAAACATCTGGTAAAAGAAATGCCTGATGAATGCAGGTTCTGGCACAGATATGGCTATATGCAGGCCCCATCCATAATGTTGTCACTTGTATGTTTATCAATAGTTATTTCTCCTGCTAATTTCTTTTTTTCTTTTCAATTTTCCAGGAATTGAAGAAATTGCAGGCAGCGAAATGAGTCTAAATTTCTGGCATGGGATATCGCACAAATAAGCATTTGTGAAGTCGGTGGTATCGGTATCGATCAAGGAGATTGCTGAGTTTTGGTGGATCAGGGTGCATCTTTGGGTTTTGATTACTGATGTTGCCTGAGAAAAGTTAATTGTTTGTTGGAAAGCTTGTTTATGTCTTGAACTTGTGAAAACGGTGTCTAATTGAGATGATGATGCATGGTTTTCCTCTCTAGGGGTTTTGGCAGTGTTCTTCTGAGTAAACACCTATGGGCTTTATACTGGTTAAATATGGGCAAAGATTGTTGCTGGTGTTGGTGATACCAGTAAATTTTGTTTTTCCTGCTATTTTCATTTATCAAGAGAGAGCATAAATTTCTAGGCAGCTCTTCAATGTTCTCATTCTCTTGGAACTCCTACCTTCGTGAATATGTTCTTAATCTTGTTTAATCTTTGCAGGATGGACGGTTGGACCAGAGCCAAATTCTAGGACAGTTCAAATCAAAATTAGATTTGACTTCCTCTTGATCTCACTTGGCTTTCTCTTTCCTGTACTTTTCCTCTTTCATCTCTGTCGTTTTGGTATTACATCAACCATTCAAAGAGGTCTGAGAGTGGGTGGATTGTGGCCCGCGGAGAAGCCACCGATCTGATGTTTTCTCTTCTGGTAGAGTCTTTAAACTAGTATTCGTGATACCTTCATTAACAAGTTCTTGTTGCTGTTTTGCATCTGAACGATTTGCTAGACCCTTTTTTTGTCGAAATGTATATTTATAATTTTTCTATCATGCTCACAGGGATGTTGTGTCGATTGATGTAAAGCTAATAATTAGAATCAAAGAAGACTTAAACTAATTGATGTCTTGTGATAATGTATGTTTTTGAATGAAACTTATAATGGTGCTAACTAAAACAACATAATTCCATTTAAGAAATAGAAAGTTATTATTATTATTATTTGCATGAGGATAATTTGATCATTAAATAATAATAAAAAAACCTGATAACGAGATGATCCAGAAAAGCCCAAAAATAATTCTGTGGCCTTTTCCCCAGCGAAATTTGTAGGAATTTTCTTCAATAAATTAGGCAATCAGATTCCGATGCTATAATACTGCCTACCCTTTTGAGTTAGGAACTATAATACTCTGTAAAAGGGTGTTTTGGGCTTCGGAGCAAGTTATTATCGGTAGCCTACTACTGCTCGAATCGAATCGGTTCCTCTCGTCCATCCATAGACTACTTCCGGTGGGCGCGACAGATCTCGGGGTGGCTTCCTCATTCCTTGTGGCAGCACTTCTCGTCATCTTCACTCCTCGGCCTAGGTAATCATGGTTCATGCATCTTGGTGTTGCACGCCAGATGTTTGTTTTTGTTCCTGTGCGAAAACGTTGCCGTTCCCTTGATTCATTAAACCCATAAAACCGCGTATTTCACCATGCTGATACTGGTGAAAAACGGGCCCTTAGTTGACGCAAACTGTGTGCCATCGTTCGAGGATTGTCTTTTGATTCATCTGCTCCCATGCTGGTATTGGCCTCGAATCGATGCTATTGACCCTACCGCTGATTTTTCTATCCCCGTGCTTCCTTAAACCCATCAAACCGCGTATTTCACCACTTGCCATGCATTGCGCCGCTGAGCCTAATAGGAATTACGGGCCAGGGAACCATTAGAGTAATATTCAAGTACTTTTACCGAAGAATGACACTCCCGTGTCAATCTATAAGAAAATACCTAGAGAATATGCTACTCTATAGCTTCTAATCTATAAGAAACGATTCACAGCTGGTAAGGAGGAAGGAGAGATGAGAAGGAAGAGTCGAAGAGGGACAATGTGAAGGAAAGGATGGGAGGAGGAAGGGGGATGAGGAGGCAAAATAGGTGGCCCATCCCACCTCATAGCAATACAGCTATCCCCCTTGCCCCTTCAAAATGGGGCACCAAAGTTAACACAGATAGATCAGCACTAATGTGATGAAAAACCAAGCCAACCTTACACACTGCCCCGCTGAAAGTAAACATCATTCCGAGATTTCCAAATCCACCATCGATCAGCACTTCAGCAGACACTTTGAATTTCTCAAATACATGATATCTTATCATAAACTAAGGCATTGCATTTTCCTGAAATGACTCTGATGTGCAGTATGGCATAACACTATACAGTCTTTTATGTTATACAATGATCATTGTGAACCATTTTTCAGTTCTTCTGTTTTTCTTTTTCCCTGTGATATCTGATCAATTATTACTTACTAAAGTTTCTCTTTTCCAGATATGTTTCTTAGACATTTAAAGGCTCACCAGTCTCTGGGAAGATGCTTCATCAGTAGCAATAGCCATGATCTTGCAATTGCAGAGCTAAACAAGGTAAATGTCACTAACTCTACAGTGTTTGTCAGTTGTCTATTAAAGTTTTGTATATCTGGCTCGTTTGTTTATCGGTCAAAATATATTGATCATCAATGGATTTCATCCAATACACGTTTCTGATTTTTATTTATTTCACTTGTGGATTTTCACAGCCTCAAATACTAATTGGACCAGTACATATTGACCAGTATTTCACTTGTCTGACCAAGGACTGGTACCAGATCATATGGCTAGGTAGAGGTCAATAATTGTTTTTTTATTATATCTTAAGTGATATTGAGTGGTATAGGTCAGTATTTTGGCTTTTATACTAGTGTTGTTTAGGTCCGACAAGAAGTTGAAATTGATGTCAAGCTGAGATTTTAAATCATGAATTTGCACTAATGTACCGAATATTCTTAGTCATGTATTTCCATCAAGGACGCGATAAGTTCTCTTTTTCTTTATCTGATTGATACTAGATTAATGCAGAAAATCAAGTTATATTGTGATAATTTCTTGAATGATATTCTCTTAGTTTTTAATGTGAACTTTTGTATCTGTGTTTGCTCTTCATTCTATGAAAAAAATTGGTTTTAACATAATTATTATCTTATTGTGGGACAATTTTAATTAAGATGCTCAAACACACCTTATTCTCTAAGAATAGAAGTCCAGTAGTGTATCCTTGCTTCTGCTCAAACTAGGGCTGCAACTAGGTACGGTCTAGTTGGAACCAACTTGAGCTCAACCTGGCTCTATGTCAGGCTTGGGCAATGTTTCATTAGGCATATGTTGGATTTTGGCATTAAATTTCTTGCCTAATACAAACTGGACCACCCGAGGACCACCAATCCAAAGTTAATTTATCATGTATACATATTTTTGTGATAATTCTGTATCTCGCTTTTTTGTTTCAAAACACAGCTACCCTTTTCATCTCCTTCCATCTCTTTTCCCATAGCTCTCTCAAGTTCCCTACAAATCTGCTGACTCTAAAAGTCAATAATTACATACTGTATGCCTCTTTAACCAAAATAATCAACTATGGCCATTTAATCCATCAATCTCTCTCCAAAGAGACAAACAACCCTAATCTTAAAACAGTAGCACTTTATCTAAGTCAGTAGGTTGCCATCGTATCCATTGTCCATTATAAATATTTACCATTAGAAACTAAATTCAAGCAATGCTTTGTTATTTTTGGTTATTTTCTATAGATTTTAATGTCTGTATAAAAAATCTAGTTAATTCTAATTTGGACTGAATTGGGATCAATAGATCCAAATGGACCAGCTTTTGAAACAATTCACTATTGCATTCACCGTAGCCTCACCTAGTCAGGCATGAGGTAACTGAATTTAACCTCGCTACCCAAACTAGATCTGAAGCCTGATTTATGTTAATCATAATCAGGTTGGACTAAGGTGAGGATACAGGTTGCAGATCAGATCAGTTGCGTGTGGGTCCATCTCATTGAGATTAAACACACATCTAAGTTGATCTGACCTGCCCATGTTGCAGCGCCAGCCAAACCCCATTCATTTACTGTTGGGAAATGTGTTGAGAGACTTCCCATTGTCTCAGTAACACTTATTATTTATGGAACATGGTGCCTACATGGAGTGAAAAATGTTAAAGAGGAATTCAAGATTGGACATGGTCCATTTTTTAAAACATTTTCCGTTGGCAATTAGTTAAACCACGTAAAGGAAGCTTAATATTGTTGATTTTACTTTTCAAAGAAACTGAATTGACATTCTTGATCAAGTTGAACATTTGGCTGGTACTCTGATTTTGAAGATATATACAAAATCCTCTTATGCTTATTACTCCAACTTTGGTGACTTTCCATGTCTGACAGTGCTTCATTGTTTATTACCAATTAGGTGTAATTTCATATGTACCTTCAAATATGTAAAAAAATCACATGTCAGTCTCTTAAAGTTGCAAATATTATTGTTGCCTTTGTAATTTTCGAAATTTTCTATATACTCCTTGGGAAAAATTAGATGTGCAATGTAACATAACACATGCTTGGTGTCCTCCAAGTTTACATGTCCATCCATAGTAACATGATGTTGTAACCAAGAATTAGCTAAATTGACAACTATTGCCATATTTATAAACAAAGTAGCATGAAACTGATAAAATCTTTGAGCAACCTAGTGAGGATACCAGTGACAATGATGCTACGGAAATACTTCTACTATAACAATGGTCATGATTTATGCTAACGAACTCTGACAGTTTTGCATTAGCTGGCAATGACCGAACACGATCATCACCACCTTTCATATGGACATGGGCTTGACGTTCGTGTTAGCCATAAATACTATCACAATTATTTCCGGGTATTTTATTTTTCTCTTATCATCTGATTACAGACAAATTGAATTGTAAACCTCACCAATCTTATTGGTGTCCGAAAACATGCACATTCATGAGCCTCGTGTCCTAATCATGGTACCTTCCTTTGTCACATGTATGTGTAATTTCAGGAACTGGAGTCAATCTTTGGCGAACCTCCTTCATCCAGTGCCTTAAGTTCAAATGCTTCTCAAGTGTCCCATTTTACTTCCCCTAGTTCAGAAGATAAGCCAACAAACCTGACTCATGTTGATGGTAGTGGACACGCCAAGATGGTAGATGTGTCCTCTAAAGTAGAGAGCAAAAGAGCTGCAATTGCGAGTTGCAGAGTTCTTCTAGGCCAAAAAGTATATAACTTGGTTGCATCAAACCAGATAGCAAAAGGAGATGTCTTGACCGTGGCAAAAATCTCTGGAATTAATGGAGCTAAGCAGACCGGCAATCTCATCCCTTTATGTCACAACATTGGGCTCACACATGTTCGTGTTGATCTAACCCTCAATGAGAAAGATTACAGTGTAGAGATTGAAGGGGAAGCTGTGGCAACAGGGAAGACAGGAGTCGAGATGGAAGCAATGACTGCCGTCACCATCGCTGGACTTACAGTGTATGACATGTGCAAAGCTGCTTCTAAGGACATTTGCATTACGGACGTTCGCCTTGAGCACAAGACTGGAGGTAAGAGTGGCCACTGGTCCAGAAAAGAATGATTCATCTTTTACGCATCACTTTCTACAAGCATTTGAAGGATGAAGATGCCGACTTTTTTATGCATAAATTATTAGAAGCCAGCGGAAAGGAAGAAATCTGTAAATTGGTACCTATGTTTTTGTCGAAGGAAGGATATTGGTGTCTTTGGAATCATTTCTTTTTGCCTTTAAATTATAAGTTCCGATGCCAAGTTCTTGAGAAGTTATGCAGACTACTACATACATGTGTATTCTTTTTTTTTTCCTAGTCAAAGTATATCTTATCCAATCAACCAACCCCAAAGAATCGAGATATATGGCTTGTTATATAGAAGAGATCCCAGTTCAATCAACCAAACTTTAAGTCTTCTTTTGTTTGCAGGAGGGTGTTTTCTTCTTATTCCTTGATTTCAATTCTTCTCGGATCATGTGTTCCACTTCCTTTTTCTTTATAGCAAACAAAAGCATCTATTTCTGCCTCACTTAAAGCTACGCTTCAGCTTTGGACGTCATGAATACGACACAAAGAGATTAATAAGTAGGGTTGACATCTGATGCATTATGTCATTTCTAAAACGTTGTACACGTCTGCAGATTGAATGGAAAAGTCGGAAACCAAGATGGATGGACAAACTGAAAGGGACTGCAGCGAATTGGAATGTTCTATGCCTTCAATTCTGCCTCTCGGTTGGATTAGAACATCCATCAGCTTTATGCAAGCCTTCTGTTGTGTTTGTTGATGACCAAGCTTTGCTTTGTCGACTTCTTTGCCGGCTGAAACCAACAACAAAAATATTTTCTTTTTCTTTTTCTTTTTTTATTTTATGTTAGACCCAATTGCGTGGGTCCCACACGCTAATAGATCTCTCATGTGAACTTTCAGGTGTGATTTATTCCGCCTATATATATATATATTCTCTTTTTCTAAATTTTTGGTAAGCACTAAAATATCTCCAAAAGATTACAAAATGAGTACTCATTTACTTGCTTCCTATATGAACTAATAATACATGCCTATGATATATATTTTTCTTTTTTGGTGTAGAATTTGAACTGATGCAATCGTATTTTATGGCACATTAGATTTGAGTGTGTTTATGTTGGAGCTGCTTATGCTGAGTTCAATCCTGATCCTTAGGAACACCCATAAGGAGACAAAAGAAATGAAAGAGGGTATCCAAACGCGACAATGACGTGCTTTGGACTTTCTGTTTCTTTAGTTGCAACTGAGCTTTTAAATGATACTGATACCAAGTGATGACGATGGATGTTTTGAGAGAGAGAGAGAGAGAGAGAGGATCTCCCTTTGCTTCACAGCATTTTATTTCTCCCGTTAAATAAGGTTTAATTGGTACCAGATTTGGAGCTTCAGAAGAAACCCTTGGCTGGATCTTGCTTCTTCCGCAGAGTTGCCACTGTGTCCTCTTGAAATCAAGCGATTTAAGGTTTCTGTCCAAACCCAATGTGTTGTTTGATGCTGTTAATCGGTAGAAGATTGCATCTTGGAACTCAAATCAAGCTCTGCAACTGTCGGATGATTTTTATTATTTTTTTGGACCTAGAAAAGAAAAAACGAACATTTCTTATGGATCATTACGCAAGAACACCTATTGTTCTTCCTTTTCTCTGTCCTTTTTTGACTGTTGTTGCGGCGTTAGTTTCCGTTGTTGTTTCATTTGCTTATTTCATGGCACTTGCTCTGGAATATCCTTTGCCAACGCTAACTCTGCGTTCAAATCTGTTATTTATCAGTATGGTTTACTGTTGTTTCTTCGATTGGCAGTTTATCTTGATATTCTTCTCGGCAACCCTTGTGGGCAGTCGTTTTTGGTACTTGTTCATCCCATCATTAGGATCATATTCTCTTCTTTTTTTCTCAGAGAAATATTTAGCAAGTTTAGAAGAATTTTTTTTTTCTTTCTCGAGGAGAGCTCAAAATAGTTTTTAGATTAATCATTTTGTAAAAGAAGCTTTAATTCACAAAGATTATATTCATCTGCTGCTAATTTTTGCAGATTAGGCATCCAAATAAAATTTCTTAGGTTTGCTCTTATGCTTGTGTTATGCTGTAGATTTCTCTTCTTTCATCTCAACCGATTTAACCTAAAAAATGAACTCTTTCTTTTTCTCTACCGCTTTGCAGGTTGAAAGGCTGCAGCAAAGCATAGCACTAAAATCACTAGGACCTTCTTTATTATGGGTTGTATCTCCTCAAAACAAAAACATGTACCTGGATATGAAGACCCTACTGTTCTTGCATCAGAAACAACCTGTGAGCTTCTATTCCACTTTGTAATTTGTTTCCATTATGAAGTGGGTTACTTATATCCATGAATATTTTTAAACAACATCATGTGATGCATCTAGGAAAGTACCACTTCGAAAATAGTCCAAGCTGGAAATCAAGTAATCTACCCTGAAGCGATGAGCAGTCTGAAATTGCTTATCCATGGTGGGTAATAACTCACATATTATCAAAGTACTAATGTCCTCATTAAGATGCACACCCTATCCAGAATTAATCCTCTAAATATTGGTGGAATGGAGAATGACATCACAATGGAAGTCCCACCATTTGATGTAATATTGGACCCACCCACATGCAGTCTTTTCCTACTTGATCCACTCATTTACATAGTGACACTATTAGGTCCACTATGATACCATTATTGTCACAATCTAAGCATAAAACCATGTGGGTTATGTCATCAACATGGAGTACTCAGAAAACGATTACTTCTTACTTCATACCAGCTGGTGACCTGCATTGTACACCATGATACGAACATGGGGGCTTCAACAGTAGTGGTGAAAGATAAGAAACAGAGAAGCAATAAGAGAAAAAAAAAATGAAACAAAGAATGGCAAGACAAGGGGAAGGGAAAAGGTAAAAGAAGAGGAATTGGAAAAATAATCAATTCTCTTAAACAAAAGGAAAAACAACAAACAAAGGAATAAGATGCAGAAATGGGTACCATTGCTAAGTTATCAACCCACATTATTCCTGCTATTCATGGATCAGGACAGAACACACCCAGGTGCTTAACATGGAATAAGAATTCTGGTTCTTCCTCTTTGGGATTTGAAATGATTTCTGTAACTCCTCAGTGTCCAACCTGGGAGTGTTGGAGTATATCACATACTTTCTGTTTTTATTCGGATACCTGTATATTTTTTTCCTTATCGAGTGCCAATCTTTCATAAAAAGGTAATGAACTAATATCAGTGATAATACAACTTGTTTAGACAGAAAAGAATGATCCAATGCACAAGGCTCCCACTAACACAGGATCTGTTGAGGGCCAATGTTTATGGACAAGTAGAGCTGGTTTTAAGAACACGATATTTTTGGATGTCACTATCAACTTATAAGATAATATTTGATACTCTTCCTTCTCAGTTACTGTGAGTGAAGTAGAAGCTTTGTACGAGCTATTTAAAAGGATAAGCTATTCAATTACCAAAGATGGGCTTATTCATAAGGTATGACCTTAGCTTTTAGTTTCAACGGGCAGCTGATTTTTTAACTATTAGGTTTATAGTTGTTCATGGAAATCATGTTTAATTTAATTCCTTCTTATCAGGAAGAGTTCCGACTTGCCCTCCTCAAGAACAGCAACGAACATAATTTTTTTGCTGACAGGGTCAGTTTCTTTTAAAATTCACTAATTTCTTGGGTAATAACTGTATATTTTTCTTTATGGTGAACACTGATATAGATCATGTGGTTCCAAAATGTATGAAATACTTCAAAAACTTAAAATACCAGAAGAAAATGATGTACCATGCTGAATTGGATGGCAAAGTGAAAGCAAGTTTTTCTCTGTATATATTATGCATGAATAATACACAGGGTTTTATCACTTCCTATGGCAATTTTCCTTCCTGTTCATCAACATGGGTTTGGACCTGAAATCATTACCTTCCAACTACTTTCCTAATTTGGTTATGTGGTAATACTGGGATGCTTTTTGTTTTTATAAATGTAGGAGTAGAATATTTCTACTTATAAAGTTTTGGAAAATCTTGAAAGTATTTTTGGAACTAAACAAATCAAGGTTACCAAGCATATATTTACAACTATTTATATGTTTTTTTACTTTTATATTCAAACACTACCCGTGTTAATAACTAAGTGTACAGTGCTATTTATACATGAAACTGACCATCAATCGAGTTAGGAGCATCCATCTAAGAGAAGTGTATGTTTTTCTAAGATATATTAGTACACAGTTACTGTCTTGTGGGCTGTGAGATACTGCCTTTGCTTATTTCTGTTATAAGTAACAATTTTGTGATGACATTTTTCAGATATTTGACTTGTTTGACATAAAACGGAATGGAGTAATTGAGTTTGGAGAATTTGTTCGATGCCTTAGTATCTTCCATCCAAACACAGAGGTGGCAGAAAAAGTTTCTTGTAAGATCTTTTTACTAAAATATTTGTCATTAAATTCATTATTTAATTCCTTAATATGAAGAATATGATTATTTCTAGGATTTTGGTGTTATTTCACTCCTTGGTTTTTAATTAGACAAGGCAGCAAATTACTTTTATATCTTAACTCTTTAGAATTAGTATCCCACCATCTGTATAATTGTACCTCTCCATTTGTAGTTTCTTTTATTTTCTACTTTTTGTTAAAGGTATATAATAATGTTTTATTTATTTCTGTGCAGTTGCATTTAGGTTGTATGATCTCAAGAATACTGGATATATTGAGCGTGACGAGGTAACATCATCCTGACACTTCCCTTTTTAGATGGAAAAGTTGGCTATATTATCCCATTCTTAAGAAAAGAAGAATCTACATGGAGTTCAACTCTAGTTGCAAAACAAAACATGTCAACTGCAAAGCACCCTCCACAGGAGACTATCCCAAACTACAGCTACCCAAAGAAGAATGAACATGCCTGCAACTGAACTCAACCATAGGAAGAAAAACAATGAAAAACACAAACTCGGTGCCTTTGCTTTAGACTCAATCATGCTTCATAAAAGGAATATAGAGGTCATCTTCCTGATGTCCATGACTGGCCATGCTTTGATTTTGAAATATCTTTCTCCAAGAAATTAGATATCTGAGAGTTGATGTTATTAAAGATGCAGCCATTTTTTAAAACAAAACATGCAACAGACATTACATTCCGTCCATTGTTTCTTTGGAAAATTTCTTCTCTAGGAGGCTCAAAAAATCTCTAGATGAAAAGCAATAAATGGAAATGGCCATTTATCAAACCACTTTCATGTAATACCATAAATCAGATCACTTTCATCTGATACCAGTAACAAAATTATATTGCATACTATTGCTTATTTTTATTTTATCTTGGTTTTGTTTACTATTCACTAAATTAACCATATGAGCATTTTTGAGCTTCTAGTGTCATCAATTTTGTTGATGGCACCTAATATCCAAATATCATTTATAAGTCTTGCCTTTGAAATTGCTTACAGTGTTTTTTTTAGTTCATCTAATGTTCATGGAAGATGAAATAAAATTTACCTACAGTGACAAAGATCAAGGAAAGAATGGGGGTTATGGATATAAGGAATGAAGTTGGGACATGATTTTCTATTTTGCTCTATCTTACAATCTCCAAATTATTGGTGCCTACTTCAAGAAAAAGGCTGAGCATTTGATTAATTATAAGAGTGGAGATTACTATACAAATAGATTTTTCATTTTGCCGTTAAGCATTGTATCACACCCTTCGAAGTCTATTTAGATTCTTGTGCACACAAAAAAAAGCCTATTTAAATTCTAACTTTTCATAAAACTGAAGCCTGTAAATAATCTTCTCCTAGATTTTCCTTTTACTGAAAGTTCTTTCTCAATGTGTGATTGCATGATCTCAGGAAGCTGTATCAGATCCATTCACATTGACAAGCCTCTTGCTCTTTGTTGTCTTGACAGTTAAAGGAGATGGTGCTGGCTATTCTGAGTGAAACGGACGTATGCCTTTCAGATGATGTTATCGAGGCAATTGTTGACAAGGTGCAAAAGTAATTTCTTCTTATTTTTCTTTTATTTCTAACTAACTATATGCAGTTTTGAGCATGCTATATCTTTCTCTTGTAGACATTACTTCAGGTTGACAGAAATGGTGATGAAAAAATAGATCCAGAAGAATGGAAGGAATTTGTTGCTCAAAATCCATCTTTGCTTAAGAACATGACGATTCCTTATTTGATGTAAGCATCATCTTCATTTTCTATCTTATATTGATCTACTTGCTTAAAATGGCTTCCCAATCTGACTCCTTTAAGGAGTCCTATGTTGTTATTTCCCGTGAGCATTTTTGTTTGAGGTCAACAAGCAGGGATCAAGCCTTATTATTTAAATATTTAAAAATGACCTAGTTCCTCCAGACCATCTACTTGAGAAACCTGTTAACTATGCATCTGCAGTATTTAAGTATATAGTGCAGATTTTTGTAATTTAAAGCATGATAGAAGATCCAAATCATTGTTCTTCATCTGACCATCTCGAAATAAAGAAGATTCGATTTCAACTATTATTTATTATCCTAAACATAGAATAATCAGAATGTTATTCTGGACGAGTATTATTGTTTAAACTATTATTTAAACAATGAAGGTAAAAAAATTTGCAAATAAGGAAAGCTTGGGTGGCCTAGTCTATAGTGCCACAACATTATTTCACTACTATTAGAGAGAGTATTACTATTTATTATCAATTGAGCTTGTCCTTCTAAGTAGTGTCCTCTTCAAGATAATAAAGTTCTTCACTCTCCTTAGCACTGCCAATCGTCCTTCCCGTATACAAGTCCTGAAATTCATAGTGAGAAGGAAAGAATTTAGCAACACAATATAAATCCTTTGTCAGTTTGCTAATATACAACAAGTTACAAGATAAGTTGGGAATATGAAGCACAGAATTCATACAAAGGAATCTGAAATTATAATTGTGACTTTTCCTACTATAGAAGAAAGTGATTCATCAATAACTTTTATTTCAGAGTTTCCAAGACAAGGTGTGTAGGAGGAAAACAAATGTGAAAGGCTGGTCATATGGTCTGTCGTGCTTGAATCTATGATCCAAGGACCCTTATGACCAAAAGAAGCAAACAAAGCTGTTAAACAATTACCTTTCTTGGCACAAAAACAAGATGATAAAGGAGGAAGGATTAGGGTTTTGGGACTGGTTCAGAAACTTAAACAGTTGTTCAATTTATTCCTTAGTGAACAAAGGCATTTCTACTCCTTTAGATGCGGTGGCAGCTTGATGGTCTACTTGAAATCCTTGGCTATTAGCCTTTTCTAGAGCTCGATTGCTCTTCCAGTTTGCTGGTTTTCCATGTATGTACCAGCAAGTTTCTCTTGTGTGTCTTGGTTTATTGCCAAAATACACCTAACTTTGTCTTTCTCATCGCTCTTCCTTTGATTATGTTTCACAGCATTATCAGCAGAATTAATTTCAGTTGTCATGATAAGTGCAAATTTTTTTGCAGCCATAGATGGAGTAGAAGATCCCCTCATGACTTGTCTTCTACTTTCCTCCCTTCTAACTTTGAAGAATATAGCTTAGAGAGATGCTAATTAATCCTTCCCCAATATCCATCCATAGACTTCATCTAGTTCTTTGTTTATACCTATCAAAATTTGAAAAACTCAATCCCTCTCAAGCATTTTTGTGTATCAAGTACTGTTAGTAGACGTGACCACTCAAAATCATGAAAAATATCAAACTCTTGCCAGAGTGTCTTTAAGGTATTAAAGTATTTCGTAACACTAGTATTACCTTATTTAAGCTCTCTGATCTTGTTTGTAATCTCAAATACTTTGGCTGAATTACCCATATTTGAATATGTCTCAACCATAACATCCCACAACTCCTTTGTTGTTAGCAAAAACATATACGTTTAGCTAATTTCTGGTTCCATAGAGTTTATCAACCATGATCTGATTAGAGAATTTTTAGAATCCCACGCTTCGAACTTGGGAACATCCTTTCTAGGTGTCGACGTTGATCCGGTCAAATAGCTGATCTTTCCTCTTCCTCAAATATACAACTTTACGAATTGAGACCAACAAAGAAAGTTCAACCCGTTGAGTTTGTGCGTTGTAATCAGTAAGGATGGATTGTCACCTAAGTAGTTTGTTGGAGATGGAAGCATCGGCTTCATCTTCTCTCAGAATTTGTGCCTACTGAATCCTGTCCAACGATGAGAAGCCTGTCCAAGTCAAAATCAACTTTCAACTGAATGAGGATTTGTTTTTCAACAAATGTGACCTTGATTCTCCAGGCCTGACTCCATTTATGTATATTAAGGATTCTGGAGAACCTAATCTTCCATCTGCTGTCGTGTGTCAAGAGGTGACAGTTTCTTTGTATTTATGGCAGTTTCTTTCCACTGTCAAGAGCTGACATTCATACATTGAAATCAGGAATACCATGAAGTTGCAAGTTCAAATAAGGGGTTCAAAATCATTTCATGATTCATACATTTTTTTGTTGATTCTGTGAAGTTCTCATACCATTCAGAGAATTTGTTTTCTTTCAATCCTTTTACAAGTAACTCTTACTCAATTTTCCATTTTTATCTGGATGAATGATTTTTCATACCAGGGCTTTCGGCGTTTAACCCTTTTCGACCATTTTGGTTTTATATTTCAGACATAATATGAGACTATGGTTGATAATCTGATAGCACGATAGAGAATTAATAGACAGATCAAAGTGTGTATCATATCACTTACCTTATGATGAATATTAGGTGTCTTTATTCATGTTGGGTATCCTTTTAGATGCTTTACCAAGTCAGTGACCATTTGTATTTTTTATTTCTAATTATGCTACCATCCTATGCTATGCACATTGTTTCTTGGAAAGTCTCCTTTCTATTTTACAGACTTAAATGCACATGGTTGACACAGGGATATAACAACAGCATTTCCCAGTTTTGTTGTGATGACCACAATTGATGAAGAAGATATGTAGTATTCTTGCTTGAGAGGAACAACAATTGTGCAGCTTGTGCATACAGAAATCATTTGATGACTCCGAAATCATCTGAAGAACAACAGTTTGCGCTAACAAAAGCATTTCAAAGTTGAGCTTTAAATAAGGCCTAAACATACTTTGAATGTATGTTTATCCTTGCATAATATGGTTCTGGATATGATGTTTTGATGACTATGTTTGTTCTAACAATTGTAACAGAGCACTAGAATGTTCAGCCGTCAAATAGAGGCCTCAATGTAAGTCAAACATATGTTCACAATTGCATACTGTGGTTCTTTTCTCAGTCTGTCTCTGTCTAAAACCCAAACAAGATTTGTTTTTTCTCTTCTTTTCTTGGAAAAGCAGGCAATATTGGAAATATTTGGGACATTATTAGATCTAATTGGATGGATATTCTGGGGATTCAACTGCTGAGGTGACAAAACATCATTTACTTAATCTGATGGCATTTGAATGGCTAGAATCCACATTTGTGGATATATTATCATAAAACATCTCTCTCTCTCTCTCTCTTGTTAGGTAGATTTCTACTTCTAACTCCGTATGGTTATCAGTAGTACTCGAGAATGAGATGTGCCAAAGCACTTCCCCTTATGGGGTCCACATATAAGGTGGGCGTGAGCTGTGTCGGTGGTTGGCTTACGCCGATGCGATGTGGTGGGAACCACTGTTGGCCGTGTGACATGGCCAAGAGACTTCGACGGATGCTCAAGGAGAAGGACGTGGCTTTGAAGGGCCCGATGACTGGGCTCCATCGTGTGGGTTCCACTGAATTGCTGGATTTTATACTGAATTATTATTCTAAAAAGATCAAAAATTATATAAATATATATTTTTTTGTTTCTCAAAGAAAGAGAAATTGGTAATGGGAGATTTATATAAATGTATCGACTATAAAGTCTCTAAAAATTGCTGGGAGAGTGATTTGTATTTGCTAAGAGGAATTGACCGAGCAATTGCAGTGCGGTGGTGCGTATATATATATGTAAACGAGGCTACGTCAGCTTGGTCGATAAGCAACAAAAACATCGTTGAAGATGGTGGAAGAGGAAGCGATTCATTCTTCTTTTAAGCAAGTAAGCAAAAGCATGGATGGTGGCTGCAGGTCAACCACCGCAACACGGCGAAGCGTAGCGGAGGCGCTCACGGCAATGGAGGAGGAGGAGGAGGAGGAGATGCCACTCCTGTCAACGCCACAAGCCAACCCCAATGGGGTGCTGATCTATCTATCTATCTATCTATCTTGGCTTCCAGAAGATGTGTGTTGTTGTATACAATGGAATACAACGACAACTAATTTCTACCTGTTTAATGTTCATTGCGTGTACGCTTGTTTATCAAAAGAATATAACGATGGCGTGACACAGCAGCTCCTGCAATCCATCCTAACTGGATTTTTCTTCGGTCTTCTGCCCATTGTTTTTGGTCCTAATCACGTTTTCTGGATTTGGGATTTGATAGGTTAACTTATCCATTAATTTTATTTAATTTAAATCACTATCAAAATATTTAAGTTAAAATCGATAATATTATCTTAAATTTATCTACTTTTGATACAGAATTAATCGATAAAGATAATCTTAGTCTTTACCATTTTCGATGTGAGATTAATCAACCTATTATAATAGATAAATCCTAATATAATACATATGAGGCATAAATTAATTATGACTAAAGTTTTATTAATTTTATTATTTTATACATAGTAAAAGATTATTTTTCATGAAAATCTTATCTCTTGCTTAGTATTTTATTATTAATCTAGGATTTCATATTTATTTTTTTTCTCAGTAATTTTAAACCCAGGTTACCATTCTGATTCCTCACTCAGTTTAGCAATGATGACCAGTCTTAACATTGATTAAGTCTCATAATATAAGCTCTTCGTCTATCTCACTCATAAAATACCCATAGCATACGAGCATTCGAACTAAATCGTTGATTGCTTCGAGTTCTTTACGGACATCCAAGTTGTCAGATCACTTAATTAGATCTATATAGAAAGTAAGAAGAAGAAGAAGAAGAAGAAGAAGGTGGTGGTCAAACAGAGAGAGAGGTGGGATGCATGAATGAATGGGGATTGGCGAACCGTTCCAACATGGGTTTTATTAGACTGAATCCAATAAGGTTCGATCATTTCCACATAACGGAGCCTAGTTTCGGGTCGGATCGGGACTGCAAATTGACGGATCCATTAAACGAACTTATGACAAGACTTAGCGTTCCGTGAACGCGTTAGATTTTTGTTTACGTGCGATCAAAGTAATGGAGGGGGGAAGGTGGCCCCAAGCCAGCGAAGCCACGTGGCAAGGAGGTAGAGGTGGCGCCGCCATGTCCCTCCCGTTTCCCCTTTCTTCCCTCGACCGGGAATCGTCCTGTGTGATGGAATGAGCTGTGACTACGACGACACACATCCCCGCCTCGGGACCCACAAATAGGTGATTGCCACCCAACCGCACTACCCCGCCAGCTGTCGTCCCCTCGCGCCTCCCCTCTCTACCCCTCCCCTTCCCCGTGATTTGCTCCAACACCCTCGCGGCGTTCTCCACCGTCCGATGCGAGAAGATGATGAACATATACGTCCCGTGCCACTTGGGCTTTTATGTAATTCTCATCACGTGTCGGGGTGTTTTAGTGGCTGGTCCTCCTATATTTTTCCTGGGGAAGCCTGGTGACCTCCCCTGTGCTCCTCCTGTCCATACTGCACGGCGTTGGTGATTCGAGTATGTCTTCTCCTCCTCCTCCTCCTCCTCGACTGATCTTTTGTTGCTATCGATCTGTGATGCATCTGAAATCATGTAATTTCTTATTGTTTTTCTTTTTATTCTAAGTTGTCGGAGGGGGAATAGACGGAGATCAGAGATGGTGAACTACTGGAAGTCCAAGGTCCTTCCGAAGATTAAGAAGGTCTTCGACAGGAACGGCAACAAGGCTGCTGCAGCCGAGGCATGCAAGTCCTTCGACGATTCCAAGGTGGGATCATATTGTTTCTTCTCTTCTTCTTCTTCTTCTTCTACTTCTTCTTTCTTATTACTACTGTCTGGGTTTGGTACAGGAGGACATCACCAAGGAGTTGGAGGAGAAGAAGGTTGACCTCCAGCCCAAAGTTGTAGAGATCTATGAAGCTTCTGCCGTTACGATCAAGGTCCGTCTTAATTCGCCTCTTCAACTCAAACAACATAGTCACAGCAGCTAAATATTCTTGCTCTTTCTGCTAAAATTAGCATTCTATCTCATCACAGACTTTGGTGAAGAAGCCTACGGAGTCAGGATTGAAGAAGGGATCGACTGTCGTGGTTAAGTTCATCGAGGAACTAGTGAAGATCGGTAATTATATGAGATAGATATATAGTTTTTAGTTGTTCAAGAACTTAAGATGAGCTCTCCTCGTGATCTACACAGAGTTCCCTGGCTCCAAGCCAGTAAGCGAGGCTGCGACCAAGTATGGCCCAGCCCTCGTCTCCGGCCCCGTGATCTTCATCTTCGAGAAGGTGTGCACCTTCCTTCCCGCCGAAGAGCCGCCTGCTCCCTCCGAGCCGGAACCTGCCGCCACCGCCGCCGTCGAGAGCGCCAGCAAGGAGATCACACCGGAGGCTGCCGAGGAGATCAAGAAGGAAGAGGCCGAGAAGGTGGAGGAGACCCCAGCTCCCCCTGCTCCCGCCGAAGAGGCGCCGGCACCTCCGGAGCCCGAACCGGCGAAACCGGACGAGCCTGCACCTGAACCTGCCAAGGCTTGAACACCACAGCTCTCCCCTCCATATCATTCCATGCATGGACTTGTACATCTGCCTTCGCCACCTGCTCTATGTTTGCATCATTTGTTATTCTTTCTTTGACCTCTTTGCTACATCACGCCCTATTGTCTCTCTCCTGTACGTACCTGTCACGAGGTTTCTTTCCTTTTGCATCTGTGAAGAACATGCAAACTGTGTATGATAATACTACATGATCAAGTGCTGTCTGGTTCACTGTATATTTCAGGTGTAAATGGGTTTATATTTCTCGTTCCTACTGCTGTCATCATTGAAGTTGTTGTTGCCGTGTCACGTCCCACAGAAAGAGGATGTCAAGGAAACGCTCCGGAGAGGCTGTGTATGTTCCCTGTGGGCCTTCTGCGTCCGATCAGAGCTGTCCTCTTTTCCTTTGTTTGAAGCTTCCACGATTGAGGGTGTATAAAAACAATAGCTAAGCGGACAACATGAAGAAGTCAAGGCATTGATTAGGGGAAGATACATCGAGGAAAGGGACGTGAGATTAATCTCCTCTGAGCCAGCAGTGGAATAAGAGTAATCAATCCTACACGGAAAAGGAAGACTATTATGTGTAAGCTTGTGCTGTGCTGATAGATACTCCATGAGAGAAGGTGGCGTATTCTCTCAACACTCGAAAAGTCTGTCTGAGAGGGTGTTGATCTATAGAATTAAGAGAAAAATTCTTTAATATTCTCAATGCTAATAGTAGCAGCACATCAACAACATCCAAGTCAAACATTCATCATGACTTGCGAGGATTGAGTGCATGTAATGTGTGGGGCCATGGGTAAGAATTGTTATCAACGAGAAAATATTTTATTTGATTCAATTAAATTAAAAATTTATTAATTGAATCATAATCGATTCAGTCAAAATTCACTCTGATTAATTTAAATAAAAAAAACCTAATCCATCTGTTATTAGGCCTAAAATCTCAGTCCATCCCTATTTATTTATATCAATAATATAAAATACCTCATCATCTTTTAATTAGTAGCTATATTTATAGATATAATTGACATCTTTAATTATGATCTATTATTGATTGATCTTTTAATATTAAGGTTTTGTTGAGAAAAATCTTTTATTCTGTTGATGGAAATCTTTCCTCTTGTATAAATAGGAGAGAGAACATTAATGTATCGAAGCATTTTTACTTTTATTCTTGTTTTCTATTATTTTCATAATGCAAGGAATGTGCCTGCTCAATCGAGCACAATAGTACTTTAGGTTCATCTTGTAAGACTTAAAGCACAGGCCATGAATCAAGACAACAGTTAGCTTAAAGGCACACTTAAATCGATTGGAAAAGATAGGTAAAGAAGAGTCAAATTGTATTGAGCCACATGCCGATAGCAATCAGTGATGCTATTCACATCATCGACTCGAGTCTCTCTCCATGGAAACTATGAAGCCACATTTTCCTACCAACCTCGCCTCCGTCTTCCCTTCTCAGTGTGCCTACCTCACAGCTAATGGCAACTACCCCCCCCCCCCTCCCTCATCTTCCTTTAAACACAAAGCTCCCTCCCTCGACCTTCTCCCAGACCTTCCTCCTCTCCTGCGACAGTGTTTCCACCGGCCTAGAATTCTTGCTCATGGCGCC